GTAGTTCCATGATCCAAGAAGAAACAACAAAATTCTAAATTCTAATCAATATAGCCAAAAATGTTTGGATTCAAGAGGAGGAAAAAGAAGTATTCAACTCGAGTCTTAAACTTTTAGCAAAAAAAAAGGTCTTAGAGAGGATAGATAATTCTCCTCTTTTACAAATCAAGAAACGGGCATCACCTATAAATTGACATGTTTTCTGAATGGTTAGTATATGATTTCTAATTCATACTCCACAGGCCACAGCAAAGAAAACAATCCAATTTCAATGGACAAATGCACAAAGAGAATTAACATCACCTACTTTTTCTGTGAGGTAGCTTGTGAACTTTGGTGTAAATTCTGAGACTGTTGAATATGTCCACCTGATTTGTATAGGATATGAAGTTTTTGGGAGTAGCCAGGACAAACGGTTTTGTCATTATCCTTTTTTTTTTCAGGAGGCTTGGTTTTATAGCCTCTCTGCAGGTCTATCCTTGTGATTTTAAGGTGATTCTGAATCATACTTGCAAAGGGGCTAGTTTTCTATTTCGGGTTGATTTTTTTTCTGTTTGCCTTTTGTAGATTTTGGAGGATTCATGATCCTCCTGTTCTTTATTTCTTGTTTCTTAGGGTATGTCTGGATTAGAAAAGAAAGTGAGAGGAGAGGAAAGAAAGTAAGAGGAAAAAATGTTAAAAGGAATGAAAGTCAATAAAAAGTAGGAGGAAAATAAGATTAGTTCTAGTTGTTTGGTATTGGTGATAGTGGAAGAAAAGAAAGAAACATATTTGATAAATGGCACAAATATCCTGATAATAAAATAAGTTATATATTTATGATTATAAATTATATTCATATTTATATCTAAATGCATAAATATTAAGATACTAAATATTTATATATACATTTTAAATATATATTTATATTTTTCCTGATAAGTACTACTATTTATTAATTTAAATATTTATGTGATTATCATTTACATTTGTTTGTATATAATATAATATAATATAATATAATATAATATGGGTAAAGGTGGAAAAAATATAACATCCTTGCACTTCCTCCCCTTTCCGCTTAATAGTGGACGATGTTTTAGGTGGGTCCCACACAACTTTCCATCCTTTTTCAATGTTCTTTTTAAACCAAACGGTGGAACATTTTTTTATTTTCGTGCTTTCTAACCTCACATTATCTTTCCTTCAACTTTCTCATGTACCAAACATTACATAAATGTCAATTAAGATGGGCATAGAGAGCATAATCATGCCACTAAGACACTCTATTTTGACACCCATCCATTTTTTTATTAATAAATGAACAAAAGAACAGAAAATGAAAGGAATAGTGGACAATATTAACTACTTCCTTTATAGACAAGTTGCATTCCAATATCCTTGAATTTCTTCACTTAGCTCATAAACACCAATTGAAGCACAAATCCTAGTAAATCCTAAAAAACTTTTAATCATACTATTTCCATTAAGTTATAGATGATGAATTTTTAAAGTCACGGCAATCGCAACAGAAATAGAGCTTACTTACAAGTTTTCAAATCACACTTCTAATCTTTTAACAATAACATGAGCATATCATAAGGAAATTCACAAAAAGAATAAAGTTCAAACCTCAAGCTGTTCATGCAACCGTTTCTGAACCTCCATTTGCAGTCGTAGAGCTTCTGTGATCTCAATACCACTGTCAACGATGCAAAGTTAAAGTCAGCATACCAATCACTATGCATGGCTGTGTATGAAATATGACCAAAAGCTTACAAAGAGACATTAAATATTAAATCTGCACTGATGCATTTCTCTAAAAAAAAAAAGTACCTTTCAGATCCATATAACTGAGAACTTGCTGCAGACCGTATTGATGGATTATCTTAAAATCCTACTTTTCTAGCATTTTATTAATAATACTCAATCTTGAAGATATCTATAATATTTGTTTCCGTTATCTATCAGATTAAGAGATGATATATGCACAATTACTAAGAACAGGCCTCAACTAGGAAAGGACGCATCAGATTGGTCAATGAATTAGTTTTACATTTTTAGTTAGAGCGGGTTTTGTCAAGAGAGCTGTTAGAGTAGTTAACTAGTTATCCCTTTATAAATAGACATAGAATGTAAGAGAATGTACTTAGTTGGTTATTAGATTCGGGATATGCATGCTTACATGTCAGTGTTGTGTGCGTTGGTGACTTAGTGTCAATCTCTAGAATGAAATTAGTAGCCAGGATAATTGGCCATGCAACTTTTTCTCTCCAAACAAAAACAATCGGCCGACATCAATGATGAATGGAAAACGTTTATCCAAATTTCAAGTTTCAAAAGCGACATTCTCCTTTACCTTTAGATTGATTAGATTCGATGTTGGTAAAAGCTCAGGAGCAACGTATAAAATATTTAGGATTTGACTCCTCCAAAGTGGGGTGCAATTTACTCCTCTTACCCACAACATCAACCAAATGTTTTACCTACTACTGCCAATTTATATTTGTTGATTAGAAAATTAATGGTAGAGATTTTTGACAACTTCATTGTATTTTTGTACATACACATATTTTATCACAACCTCCTATTGATTTCTAATCAACAGTTATCACTCTGCATTTCACCCTCTAAAATACATCTCCCCCTTTAAAGAAGTCAGATTCAAATATTTTAAATGTGGAGAATATTTGTATTTGCAGAGTCATATTAGAGAACCAAAAAGTTGTCTAAAAATTTGATGTATCAATAGTCTTTGAAATACAACACAATACATAACAACAAAAAATAGATGTTAACGTCAAATAAAAGTGGATAGTTTACTTACGTTTTTAAATCTAGAGATGAAATATCTTCAATGGGGCTTAGTTTTTTCTCTCCAGCTCCTGCCAACAGTATTCAACAAATTGTACATCATGTGATCATGCAAAGAAGGAGCATTACTCTTTTTCAAGAAAGATAATAAAGACACACTACTTATAGACATCAAATGCAGAAAAACCAGGACAATAACAGAGTTCACAGTTAGGTCTCATAATATCTCCAATCTGCAAATCTAATTAAAAAATTACAATAAAGGAAGTTGCAATTAATACTTAATTTATTATTTGAAAATTTAAAATTCTTTGATTCTCTTTGGACTTCATATAAAAAGATTAAATTTAGCGGTATCAACACTAATTACACAGAATGTAAGAAAAATTCTGTGGAAACTTGCATCTTAAATGGTTTCCTCTTACATGAGCACGGGGGAGGGACAAAGAAAGGGGAAAATGTCTGAAGAAAACAGATAACCAAAATATTGCAAACAAAGGGTTAAGAGCCATAGACAACAAATTAAGACATCACACAGTTGCATCATTCAACGACTTCTTACCATAGGTGACTTTTACATTCGTATGTTCGAAAAGCATACTTGACATAAATTCCATGTTTCTCGATATGGAACAAAGCAAGTTTCCAATTAAAAGGAAATTTGACAAGAGCCATCTATTTGGTAAAAGCTTTTAATTCTACTGTAAATTTTGCAGGTCATTGTTCTTACTAAAATAAGTTATTTAATAGCCAATGAACTCCTCATCCTAAGTCCTATATTTGGTTATCTGTTTTCTTCAGACATTTTTTCCTTTCTGCAAGAAGGCGCATATAATATACAATACATATCTTATGTACCTTCAGATGACTCTGGTCTATATCTAGCTGTCCTGTATTTCTGCATTTCACGGAGCAACATATTTCAATATAAGCATTCAAGGAAACAAACCTTGAAAAATAAAGCAAACAGTACATACCTGTAAGTGGCTTTTAACATGATATATAGTTAGTCCTTCAACTTTCATGAGCTTCAGCACACCCTTAGGGGTAGCTCCTGTAGAGAGAAAAAAAATAAAAATAATTGAGGCAGAAGTTTAACCAATTCAGACAATACTTGGGAGTGTGAAAGAGAGATGGACATACTTTCACTACCACCAAGTTGGCTGACAGCCTCCACAAATGCCTCGTGAAGCTCAGGAGTCCAACGCATCCGTGGCTTGGCAGATGCAGAATTTGCTGAGGAAGATGGAGCAGTACCAACATGGTTTTCTCCGGATAGAGCTGGAAGTTGTTGATTGCCTTGGGATTGGTGTCCTGCCGAAAATTGTGAAGATGACTTTGCAATGGGATCCACCGCCTAAAGAAACAAAATGAGTTCCCGACATGTTCCTTAAATAAATTGCTAATCATTTACTCTGCAAAGCTAATACTGATTTGAGTAATGAAAACCGTAACCTTTGGCTCGAGATCTTGAATATTATCAGCAAGAATATCATTCCAATTAGAAGTCAAAGTATCGTCGTCACTGATTAGCTGGTCAGCCCACTCCTGCCAATCATTCCGCTTAGAAAACTCCTCAGTAGCCATAATATTGCAGTCACTGCTCTCTAATGAATTATTATTAATTGAGGCATTCGCTGAGAAATCAAGAAAGCTAGGCAGGGAATCTGCATGCCACGGAGCACTGTTTCCATTGGAATAATGTGTTGATGTGGTAGAAGGTACTGGTCCATTATTTGAAGAATACGGTAATGGCACTGGAGCTACGCTACTCAATGGCTGTACAATAAAATGAGCATTTCTAGAGGGTTTTTCATGAGGTGAAAGAGATGAGTGATGAAGGTCTGTCGAATATCCAGGGGAAGATGAAAACATATGCCCAACTGCTCCACTGGAACTTATATGACCTGCATGATTAAAAGTTCTTGTCTTAAGATCTTTTTCCACAAAAGCCTGCTGCGAATCAGATAATCTGGGGTATGTCTCGTCTAGAGGTGTTGGATGGATGGACATCGATGAAGGAAGAGCTCCAGACATTCCTATGTTATTCAGCTGCCGGGCACTTGATCTTTCAATTGAGAAAGCAGGACGAGCTTCCATTATTTTCCTGAGTTGTTAATTGAAAAAGGTAAAAGTATCAGCTGTCTAGTCAACTAATAAAATTGGAGATTGCCATCTCTCATATGGTAATGCTCACCAGCAAAATACTACAGAGGTCTCTTTTTGTTCTTGATGCCCAAATCAGACAAGTTGTCATCAATCTGCACACTTGAAAAAGAAAAATGACTGTTTAGTCATAGGTATCAAAAGCTAACCAAAAGAAAGAAACTCACTTGTGAGAATATTGCTTCAGAAGATCATAAATCCCATCATGAAAGTAAAACTCATATAAATAGAATGGCAAGCTTAAGTACAAGGTTAAACGTGATAGAATGAACATGTTAATTTTGTAAAAACTTAAAACCCCGGTAGTTGTTGGTCACAAACCTCAAAGTTTCATACATATAAGGTAGATATGTAACAATTTCTTTAGTTTACATAAGTGGTAAGCACAGTCAGATATATGAAAAACATCATAATGTTCATAGTTATGCATTTATTTAAAAATGAAGACTGACTCGCATTGAGCTAATGGGCTACAGACTACAGAGTACTAGTTTGCATTTGTACACTCATACTTAACATAATAAGTTACAGCACTTTGATACGTGATACAAGAATAACTCGGCATCTCCATAATGTTACATCTTTCAAAATAATGATAACAATAAAATAAATGCACGGCATATAAAGCATCACAACATGAAATGTTTAAGAAGAGGGCTAGAGAAATTCTTAGTATCATGTCCGATGATCCTTGGAGAAGGATTCAGTGACTTTGATTTCGGTGACTTTGGGTGATTTTAGTTATTTTTTATGAAAGAGAAAGAGAAAAAAAAGGGAAATAGAATGAGAGAGTCTTTTTAGTGTGAAAGAGACAAAGTTATGGTGAGTTTGGCGCCCCAAAGTCACCAAAACCCATTATGATATTGATAAACACACAACCTGAATATTGTTCATCACTATCACCATGCAATACAAACCAAAGTCTAAAAAAAACGTACATAGAAGAATTTCACCATTCACAGTCAATATCCCATCACAATTCTAACTAAAAATATAATTTACGAAGAATAATACAAAAACTGCAAAAGGTTCATCAGAAAACACATTATCTCAAACCTAAACAGTAAACATGAAGCTTCACTATAAATATATAAAACTGATAATCAACAACTTATACTCGACTTGTAACTCTTCCAAAAATAAGTAAACATACAAAAAAATTAAAGAAAAAACATGAGAAAGCAATACACGCTCCATGATCAAACCTTCACAAGATAAACCTAAAAACATGCAAAATTTAAATACTGAAATTAGATTGAATTAAACATCAAATAGCCACAAAAAACACCAAAACAAAAAAAAACGCAGGAAATCGACAAGAAGCATCACGAAAAAGGGGAAACAGAAGCGAAGGGAATAAAAAACAACGGATAGTTTCAGAAAATCGATTGTGAGGTGAATAATCGAATTGTTACCTGAAGGGTGGAGATTCGAGGGGAAGTTTGAGAATTGAGAATTCCGTCGCCGGCAAAGCGAGGTTGATTGGATTTGTGGGAGTGAACGGTGACGAACGGATGCGGTTAGCACCTCTATTGGTTATGGAGGAAATAGCCACTTCATATCCTACGCCCCAAAGGAGCGCGTGAAGATACTTTCGGTTACGAAACACTCGCTTGCGATTGGTTTGCAACAGACAAAAAAATATCTGAACGGTGTGCACGTGAAGATTGGTTTGGTTTGCGCCACATGATTAGGAAAAATGTTCTTTCATTTATCTCAATAGGTCAAATTTAAAAAGTTACTTTCACCCTCCCACAAGTGAAAATTTTATGCAAATAACTTTTCTTTTCAATTGTATTTTCATACTAACCATTATTTTCATTTATTTTTTTTAACGTAATTCATCTTTAAACAAAAAAAAATTAAAATAAAGAGGTGTCGTTAATTGAATTGACGAGTGTATGTGGTATATTCAATTCAATTGACTACACTTCTTATAAAATACATGCAATCGTCAATTGAATTTGTTACACTTATGGATGGAAATAGATCAGTCTATCTGAATTTCGTCAAATTTAAGTCTGACCTATTAAAATATTTAAAATCTAAGTCTGACATGTAGTTTATCAAAGATTAATTTTTAGGTCTGAATCTAGTATTTCAAAAGTCTGATTGATCTAATAGTTATTTAAAAGTCTATTTCATTTAAACATTTGTAAATAAACAATTCAACTAATGGTAAATAGAGTAACAACCTAAAATATCACTTAGACTAAATGTTTGTTTTTATTGACGAATTTGAGTTTGTCTATTAACATAAATTTTGTGATAATATTTGTTTTGGATGACTTATGAAAATAACTTATGACATTGTTTATAAAAAAAATTTAATTTATTTTATAAGTTCTTCAAGATAACTAAACTTTATTTTCGTATTTTAATTTCAAGTACAAAATATAATCTAATATAATAATAATAATAAAAATATTTATATTTATTTAAATATGTCGGTTTGATGGGTCTAAGAGGTTTTTTATGGCTTGTAGCCTAGTTTTTTTAGCTAAATAGACTTATTAAAAAGCCTAAATTTTTTCTATTTAAAAAAAAATCTGACTTGGTCAGAGCGCAAGTTAGAGCTTGTATAGACTATATCGTAATCTGTATTAGTTATCACAGTCTATTTGACAACACCTATTATTTTTTAAATGGAGCGTCAATTCATCTGACAACACCTCTTTATTTAAAAAAAAATCTAAATAATGATATTCAACAAAATCTTACGCCTTCAAGAAACCAGCCTTCAACAAGATAATGTCATTCTTCAACCTCGTTAGCAATAAGTGAAATTGAATTACTCTATAATATTTTTAAGTATGAATCAGATATCTTATATGTGCAAATGCATAACCTAATTTCTCGAATCTAAGAGAAATATGTAGGATGTATTTCTTTTACGTGTTGAAATTGATTTCAAAAGTTAAATTTTTGTCATAAACCAATTAAATATAAAGTAGTTTTCATGTATTGACAATTAATTTATTTATGCAAAAGTGAGTTTTAATCAAAAGAAAATTAAAATTAAAAGTATATTAAGAATAAAAGCTACAAATATCAATTTTATGTTATAATGTAATTTGAAAGAAAAAATAATTCTACTATAAATTAGTTAATTTGACATCTCTGCCATCTAAACATTATCTTAATTAATTTTCTTAAATAGTAAACGATAGAGCTAGAGTGTTTGATGGAATTTTAATGAGGAATTTAAAAAGAATTTAACTTAAAACAAAAAGAAAATCAATGTTCTTAAAACTTTTACAATTTGTTTAGTATCCATGTTAACAAACCTAATAGAATGATTTTATCATATTTTGTATCAATCTTGTGGCATACGCCATTTCTAGAGACATATTTTTTCATTGGGTAAATTTACATGTCATCATGAACATGAGAGGAAATTTTTTTAGTATTGGGATGATCTCTCCATAAATGCACCTAAGAGAGGGGGAAAGACCAAGGAGAATGGGAGAAATCAATGATTGTCAGTGGATTTCCAAATTTTAAACAAGCTTGTTGCAATTCAATAAAGAGTAAGAAGATGGAAATCATGACCCCAACAAAAAAGTAGGGCTAAAGGCCCAAGGAGAAGAGATGAGTCTGATAACTCAAAATTTATGAGTGATTATAAGACTTAATACTTTAATCTTTCTATTAATTTGATCATTTAATAATTAAATTTATTACATTTTATTATTTTAAGAGTAGTTTGTAAAGACAATAATAGGTGTTCTCTTTTATAGTTTTTATGTGTTTGTTGCTTGTGAAGGATTAGCTTCTAATGAGCTTTGTCATGTCAGTATGGGACAAGAACTTGTATCCAAGAGAAAGTGGAAAGTTGGAAGCAACTGAGAAAAAGGAGAAGCATCAATTACATTACTAGGGCACACGTGGAAACAATTTGCATTTGGAAGGAGAGATGATGTAAAAGGATAAGAGTGATGAGCTATAAGACAAAATCCAGTACCATGTACATCCATTAATGTGTCATGTTGCTACAAGGACAGTGTTTTGCTTATCTACGCCAGCAGACTACCACGCTACACTTTTTCCCCATTGATGTTTGTACCTGATTCTAATTTTGTATGGATTAGAAAAAATTGAGGGAATAATGTTGATTTTCTTTAGGCCTCGTTTGACAATTATTATCATACCCAAGATCCAAGAGAATGTGTAAAACCCCAGCTGAAGTAACTATAAAAACAGATCTTGAAGAAATGAAAAGGAGTTTAGAAATTTAGAGAAATAGAACACACTTAGAAATACCAGTAAAGAGAATGAGTTGAATGCGAATGGATATTCTTCTTCTCATCCCTTCAAGTGCCTACTACTAATATCTGGTGGGACAAAAGTCGTCTCTTGGTGACTAACCATTGCAAGAACACGAAGAAGTTGCTTTTAGGTTGTTATTTCTTTCTCATTATGTATTTGAGAATGTTTAGCTTAAGAACCAATATTGTTGTATCTACTCAGCTCATAATGAGTTAAATCTTTTATGTTGAGTAATGAGAAGTAAATATAACAAAGTCTTTTACGTTAAATGATGTGTTGTGAATGTTTTGTTTTATTATGTGTTAAATTGTTATAAGTATGTTTCTTTGATTAATCAACTTGGGAAAAGATACAAGTTTATTGTTGTGAGAGAACTAGCAATAAGCGAATTTTATGATAAGAGAGATTAAAAATAGTAGGATAGAGATATTCACTAGATTAACTACTTTAGAGATAAAGAGTTACAATCATAAAGGACATTTAGAATAAGCCATACATGCATTAGGGTTATAAGTCAGGCTTAGATATTTTTCTCAATGCCTTGTTGTATACGCTCTTGATGTTATAGAGATACACTATTAGGTCACTTTTTGACATTTCCTAACACGATACAACATGTCATGTATGCATAAATTACAAATTATACTAATGGATCATTGCCTAACATGATCTCTATTATTGAATTCACTTACCTTATTGACATTGTTGTTGAATGTGCTTGCTACTAAAATGAACTTGTGACATCCATAAACTATTTTTATCCTACTCATGCTCATTTACAAGGGATAATTCCTTACAAAATCAATCTATGTTACTTTCCACTCCCTGTAGGTTCAACGTCCTTACTATTCTATCACTTGCTACTTAAAACATACATGTATACTTACATGTGATATCATATGTTTTAAACCAACAAATTTTTGGCGCCATTGTCGTGGAGTGTGTCAAAGATAACATTTTGATTTTGTACAAAACATTATTTCTTGTTAAATTAGCATTTGAGCTTTTGATGTTTTTGTACTATGTGACACCACAGGTGCTTAATTGTTGCATGTGTGATTGTTAAATCTGGTATGCACTGGATCCTGAACCTGAGAGAAAATTCATTTTGCTTAGGAGATTCTAAGCTACTAGACACTTATTAGGAATCCCTTTTCATTTTCTTGTTTTTTACATAGAAGAGGAAGCAACTCAAGCAAACGTTGTTATGACAAATAACGACATCATTAGCATTGTCAATGATAAGACAAGAAACATCAGGGATTATGTAGCCTTTGATCTCAATGCCTTGAACACGAGTATTATTCGTTCAGAGATCACTACGGCTTAATTTGAGTTTAAACCAATGATGTTCCAGATACTACAAGCCATTGGTCAATACTCAAGCACTGCAAATGAGAATTCACCTTGCATTTGAGATGATTTTATGGAAGTGTCAAGTAACTTTAAGATTTTTCTCATATTCTCTAAGGGGTTGAGTTAAGATCTGATTGAATTCTTGAGGACCAAATTCCATAGCCACATGAAATGTTGTAGCTGAAAAAATTTAGCTAAGTACTTTCCTTCCGTCAAGAATGATAAGATGAGAAATGAGATCACTTCATTTAGACAGGGAGGTGATAAATCTTTATTTGATGCTTGAGAAAGATTTGAATAGTTGTTTAGACAATGTCCATATCATGAGATACTAATCTGCACTCAACTTAAAATATTCTACAATGAATCAGTTCCCTCATCTTGTGTATGTGTGTGTGTATATATATATATATATATATATATATATATATATATATATATATATATATATATATATATATATATATATATATATATATATATATATATATATATATATATATATATATATATACTCTCTCTGTCTCAAAATTAGAGTCTTTTAAGGTTGTGGCACACAGATTAACAAAAGTAATTAATGAAGAAATAAATATAACACATTTAATAAATTATCCTTGATGAGTATTGGTTACTTTTACATTGTCATAAAAGCAAAGTGGAATTTAATGCCTTGAGAGTAGTGCAAACATAGTTAATTAGGGGTAAAATTTGGTAAAAATTAATTAATGTTGCATTGGAAAAGTAAAACGACACTTATTTTGGGACAAATTTGTTAGGCTAAAGAGACACTTATTTTGAGACAAATGGAGTGTGTATATATATATATATATATATATATATATATATATATATATATATATATATATATATATATATATATATATATATATATATATATATATATATATATGATCTTACCGGTTGATCAAAATCTAAAAGTGGGTCGAGTTGATGACGTCTGCTTGGCTGAAAATTTATGGAGAGGAGGGGTGTACCTGTAAGGCACTCTGACGATCTAGTGAGGAAGAGTAATGAGAGATACAAGGGAGATGTTAGGGTTTTA